CTCCCGTAAAGATTTACACCCTCGGAAACCCTGTACAGGGTCGCTATGGGTCGGAACCGACTCGATGGCACTTAACAACAACAACAACAATCTTCAAGTATAATGCTATGATAGCATAATATCCATACGGCTACAAGGAAGACCCATTAAAGTCAGTGATGATGAAATTGAAGAATTCTACTAATTTCTTCAGTCTGAAGTTGATCAAATATGCAGTCAAGATGTATTGATAATTACTAGTGACAGGAACACAGCAGTTGAAAACAAAGAAGGATTAGTAGTTAGATAGAAATAATGCTGGAGAATGCATGATAGAATTTTGTAAGACCAATGACAACTTCATTGCATATACCTCTTTTAAACAACATAAAAGACGATTAGATTATATATATGGACTTCACCAGACAGAATACTGTGGTAGAAAATTTCCATCTCTGGACAAAATAAGGCCGGATGCAGAATATGGAACAAACCATCAATTGCTCATACACAAATTTAGGCTGAAGCTGAAGAAAAGTAAAACGAAGTCCAAGAAAGCCAAAATATGACCTTGAACATATCCGACCTGAATTTAGAGATCAAATCAAGAACAGAATTGATGCATTAAACACTAAATGACTGAAAACCAGAAGAATTATGGGATGCCATCAAGAGCATCATACAGGGAAAAATGCAAATGTCATTAAGACAAAGAATAAAGAAATGACCAAAATGGAAGTCAGAAGAGACTCTGAAACTTGCTCTCCAAGGTGGTGGTGGTGGTGGTGGTGTTATGTGCAGTGGAGTCGGTTCCGACTCATAGCGACCCTGTACAGGGTTTCTGAGGCTGTAAATCTTTATGGGAGCAGAAGGCCTCATCTTTCTCTCATGGAACAACTGGTAGTTTTGAACTGCTGACCTTGCGGTTCGCAGCCCAATTTGTAACCACTATGCTACCCTCATTTCTTCCATTTGCTTTAGCATCTCTAACCTGGAGAGGTAAAAGTGTTAAATATCAAAGAGCAGCTTGAGAAGACAAAGTCAAATATTGAAATGTGCAAAGTTCTTGGGTTAAAAAAACAAAAGGAAAGAACACAATCAGCAATTTTCAAGGTAAATGAACTGAGCAAAAATTCAAGCCTCTATTGCAATACTGAAGGATTCTTTGGGGAAAATATTGAATGATGAAAGCATCAAAAGATGATGGAAGGAATACACAGAGTCACTGTGCAAAAAGGAATGGTCTATGTTCAACCATTTCAAGAGGTAGCCATATGACCAAGAGTCAATGGTACTGAAGGAAGAAGTCCAATGTGCACTGAAGGCATTGGCAAAGAACAAGGCTCCAGGAATTTATGGAATACAAATTTAAATTGATGCAGCATAGGAGGCATTCACTAATCTATGCTTAGAAATTTGGAAGACTTTTACTTGACCAACTCAGTAGAAAAAAATCCATATTTGTGCCCATTTCAATCAGAGGTGACCTAAAGAATTGTGGAAATCATTGGACAATATTACTAATATCACATGCAAAGTCTTGACGATTTACCAATACATTTTCTTCGAAGTTTTAAAAGTTTAGCTCTTATATTTAGGTCTTTGATCTGTTGTGAGCTAATCATTGTAAGTGGCATGAGGTATATGGATCCAAATTCACTTTCTTACATGTGGTTAGCAATACATTTTTAAAGAAATATTTTTTTTTAGCAGCCATGCTATATGAAGGCTCCTAGAAAGCATGTGGTAATTTCTTGAAGTACTCTAAGAACTTCATTTTCCTGCTTATATAATGTTTTTCCAGACATAATGTGACTTTTTATTTCTTAAGGGGTTTGTGACCATGACACTGGAAAGCCCAGAAGAAATACAGGATGTCAGCTGTGCTTGGAAAGAACTTAACAGAAAGCTGAGTAATAATGCTGTGTCCCAAATTACCAGAATGTGTCTCCTAAAAGGAAATATGGTAGGTTTTTTTACACTTGAAAACTCTAATCAATTACCTAAATATTTTATTCCTTTCCTTTTTTTGATGTCTAATGGAATGGAATAATACTGCTACTCTTTATGTTCATTGGTCTCTAGTTGTAAATTTTGGGTGTTGTATAAATAACCCTTGCCTGCAGAAAGCTGTAAATCATTCTGCTTAGTTTGGCTATCTAATACTAAGTTACCTATGTTTCTGTCCTTGTGTACATATTATATATTTCTGTGTATTTTTTCTCTAAAACTTACGATTACAGTGAGAATGAGTTAAATAAGTATTTTAACATGATCATGAAACAACAGAGTTTAAGTTGTATGTAATCATAGTGGCTTTGATATCTTCTAATGATTTTGAAAGGAGATGTATTTATCATCTAATTTCACCATAGATTCATTGTAACCTAAGGTTTATGGACTAGATTGTAGACTGGAAATAATCATGTTTCTCAAACTTTCATATTAGCTACCCTCAAAAATTTGGGGGAAGGTATGAGATTTATGTACTTGTACCAAAAAAATGTAAAGGCGAGAGAGTAAAATAAATATAACAAGATCCTTATGTCAGACTAGTTTCTGTAATTGAGAATTAAATTAGCTTTCAACTTACTGACAAGACCAAAGAAGAAACATCTTAGGTTTACACATCTCTTATTTTCTGATAAATACTGTAACTCCTCAGGAGACAATTTTAAAGAAGTATTTTGTAGGATTTTTTACAAGGGTCATTGAACCATAAAATAGTATCCACAATAGAGATGCTTATTAGGTGTTGTATGTAGTGATATTCAGAAAATACTTCACACTGCCACTTGTGTTATGTATATTTTATGCATAGGTTATCTGTTTTAATCTCTAATCAGTCATTGGAAAGAACAAATGTTTTTCTTTAAAGAATGGAGAATACAGTGAAAGGGCAAAAGAGAGGTTTGAATCAATGGAAGCCAAAATACCTAACTTGAATGTAAATCTTTCAATACTAGTAAGCTTGAAGAAAGAACAGAAAAAGAGAATGAAAAAAAATCTAAAGAAAGCATAAGATTCATGTGGGATGATATAAAGAGGAATAACCTGTGGTTGATTGGCATTCCAGAACAGAAGAGATAGTCAAAGAGCTGCTGGAAGAAAATTTCCCTAATATCAGTAAAAGTGAGAAGATAAGCATTTAATAAGCTGAAAGAACCCCAAACAGGATAGACTCCAAAAGAAAATCACCAAAACATATCATAATCAAACTCTAAAAAACAAGGAAAGAATCCTGTAAGCAGCTCAGGAAAGATGAAATGTTACCTACAAAAGGAAACCAATAATATTAAGCTCTGATATCTGAGCAGAAACCATGCAGATAAGAAGGCAATGGAGAGACATATATAAAACTTGAAAGAAAAAAACTGCCAACTAAGAATCATATACCCAGAAAAACTGTCCCTCAGATAAGACAGCTAAATTAGAACCTCTCCAGATAATCAGAAATTAAAGGAATGTGTAAAAATCAAGCCAGCTTTACAAAAACCTAGTAGCCTTAGTCACTTGGACAAAGAACCAACAGCAGACAACAACTGGAGATTGGGTTACATGGCAACACCACCCAGAATTCAGTCCAGCTCTAGACTGAGGGGAGTCCTGGTGTGGTGCTGTGGGTTAAGGCGCCAGACTGCAAAGCCGTTTGAACTGCAAGGTCGGTGGTTCAAGCTTACCACCTGTTCCTCGAAAACCCTATACAGGGTCACTATGGGTCAGAATCGACTCGACAGTACTTAACAACAACAACATAGAAGGATCCAGAGTAAAACAAAACTACAAGGCTGAAAATAGGGAATCCGAGATAGCATTCTATAACGAAGACAACTACAAAGCTTATAGTTGTCGTTGTTGTTGTTAGGTGGCATCAAGTCAGTACGGACCCATAGCAACCTTATGCACAGCAGAATGAAACACTGCCCGATCCTGGGCCAACCTCACTGCTGTTGCTACTCTTGAGTCCATTGATGCTCCCACTTGGCCAGTCCATCTCGCTGGGGGTCTTCCTCTTTTTCTCTGTCCCAACACTTTACCAAACATGTTATCCTTCTCAAGTGACTGGTCCCTCCTGACAATATGTCCGAAGTATGAGAGACAAAGTTTGACCATCCTGGCTTCCAAGGAGCACTCTGGCTGCGCTTCTTCCAAAACAATCTATTGGTTCTTTTGGCAGACCTTGGCACTTTCAATATTCTCAGAATATCAAATGGTGAGGAAGTCAAGTAGATTACAAGATAAGACAAACTGTTTTAAATTGGGGAAGAAATCAATAAATTACAGGATAACCTCAAAGAAACTTAATACATCTTCACATCAGATCAAGAAAATGAAAGTCCATGAAGATTTTATAAACATTAAAATGAAAAAATTGACAAGAAAAAGCACAACAAAAATGAGCTCAGCACAGGAAACCAGAGCATGCTGAACATCAATGGATTAAATGCATCAGTCAAGAGACAGTGAGTAGCAGAACGGATAAGAGGATCCTTCAATATGCTGACTTCAAGAGACACACCTTACACCCAAATACAAACATAGATTAAAGATTAAAGGATGGTAAAATTTTATCAATCTAATGGAAATCAAAAACGAGCAGGAGTGGCAATATTAATCTTGATAAAATATGAGGGTGAGTCAAAAATTATCCTCTCTCTGGTTGTAGAATTTATTTTAACCAACTTTTAGAAAAGACAAAGACATCATTTTTTGACATAATCTCCTTGCTTTTCAATATACTTTGACCATCTGTCAACAACCTTTTGTATTTACTTATTAAAAAAATGTTTTTAGGCTCAGCTGCAAACCACTAATGTACTTCTGTCTTCACTTCTTCATAGAGGTAACTCTTCATCCTCAAAGGACTGCTTTCAGGGGACCAAACAGGTGAAAGTCTAATGGAGCAAGATCAGGAATATAGGGAGAAAGCTTTAACACCTCAAAATGATGTTTTTGCAGCATATCAACAGTGTAGGCAGAGGTATGGGGACATGCATTTTCATGCAAGATCACACCACCCTTGGATAGCAGTCCTCTGTGTTTAATCTGAATTTGGGGCATTAGCTCTTCAATGAGCATTACACTGTAATGAGCACTGTTGATTGTTTAAGCTTCTTCCTAATCATGTTCCAATACTGGCCTTTGAGAATACCAGAAAACTAAGCATCAGTTTTCCGCTGATGTTGACTTTTGAACTTTTTATTGGTTGGCAATTGAGAATGTTTCCATTCCATACTCTGCTGTTAACGCTCAGGCTCGGTAGTGATGAAGCCACATTTCGTCACTAGCAGCAATTTTTTTCTAAAGAAACGTCTACCTTCCTTTGAGTATTAGTCCAAATTGTTTGCAGATGTCCAAACGCTTCTGTTTACACTCTTTCCTGAGATGATTCAGTACCCATCTTACACAAACTTTTCAAAACTCAAGTCTGTTGTGGCTTATTTCATAGGCAGAGCCATAGCTGACTTCCAAGTGATTTGCTGTATAGTCTACCGTCATTTGTCTTTTCAACAGAATTATTTCACATGCACGCTCAACATTGTCGTTATCCATCAACACAGATGGGTGTTTTAATATAACCAGAGTGCAGAATAATTTTTGACTCATCCTTGTAGATTTTAAGGCAAAAACTAGCATAAGAGACAAGGAAGAACATTATCTTATGATTAAAGGGTCAATTTAACAAGAGGACATGCTCCCATCGAAAGAGCTTCGAAACACATTAAGTCAAACTGTAATAGAATTGAAGAAAGAAAAGATAACTCCACAATAATAGGAAATTTTAAAACATTACTTTCGATAAAGGACTAAACAACAGATAGGAACTCAACAAAGATAGAGGAACTAAACAACACAGTCAATTAACTTGACCTAACATATCTGAGACAGGAACTGAATAGTCCGAGAAAATTATAATGCTTCACGAAGTCCATGCTGCTCCTTAGAATTGACCACATGTACATCACCTAGTGGCTGCTGCCTTTTCTTCAAGCTTGAGCTTCCGTTTGTGAATCATTGTTCTTAAGTGCCAGCAAGTCAGTTCAGACTCAGCAACGCTGTATACAGTTTGCTAGGAGCTGTAATCTTGTGGTTCAAACCAACCTAGCGGCCGAGTGCTTATCCTACAGCACACACTTTGTCTAATAGTTTAAGAATATGAAACTATCCCACATGAGAAAAGAGATTAAATAAACACCTTTTCTAAAAACATCAAGTAAAACTAAATATAGAAAAATAACATCTTTCTGTCTTTGATGATGCAGAGGATATAATAATTACCTTTTTTTTGTTGTTGTAATAGTTGAGATTTGAAACCTGGTATTGAAACCAGTTGCTAGCTTTATGACCTTAAGCAATTTACTTGAACTCTCTGAGCCTCATTTCCTCATGCAGTATTCTAAGGGTTAAATGAGCTCATACTCATCAAATGCTGTTCACATTATAAGTGTTCAAACAACGTTAGCTACTTAATTACTAACTTCTACAGTCTCAAAATAAATGCTTTAGGTGGCATAGTTATTCAGCATGTGTAACTTTTATTATGTTTTGACTGAAAGTAAAATCAGCTGCTGGTGCTTCCTGTGCTTCTTAACCTATGTGATGGTGCCAGGAATTAAGTCTGAAGGACACCATCCCAGGTCAGGGGTTCTCAGACTTTAGCCTGTACAAAATCACCTGGAAGGCTTGTTATAACAGGTTAATGGGCACCACTCTCCAAGTTCTGATTCTGTAGGTTAGATTACATTTCTAACAAGTTCTCAGGTAAAGCTGATGTTAATCTTAAGCTCACACTTAGAGAACCACTGTTCCATGTTGATTTTTAGCACAATAAATACTTTTAAATGGAAAAAAAATATATTAAAACTGCCTTTTTTGTACATGATAACTTAGCACATAGAAAATTCACAGGAGCTCACATAATGAAACATTCTGAGGCGCTGAAAATGTTCCAGTAAAATAGCATCATAAATGATCCAGGTGGCTGTCCAAGTGTGTATATACATATATATATATATATATGTATGTATTTTAAGTTTTTGTTGTGAATTACATGTTAGTTTACATGGGTGAACATTACCTTTACATTCATCCTATCGTATTTTGTTTCATTGCAATGATCACAATCCCCTGCATGCATCATCAAACAACCAAAGGGTACACCCCACACTCCTGCCCGCCCCCGGCCGCCAGCCCACAGTTCCTCTCCCTCCCTGAGTCCAGAGTCCTCAGCCACTCCATTTCTGTATGTCATCGTCTCTGCCTCCATCCCTAGTGTCACTGCCTCCCCGTACAGTGTCTTGCACTTCACTTTTCTCCCTTGATGGTTCCAGGGATCTCCACTCCTTGGACTACAAAATCACCCAACTCCCCTCCTTTTGTTACCAAACATTTACATTTACCTTTCCAACACTCACTGTCAGACCCTGATAGCAATCATTCCTTATTGAACCACAGGAGTCCTTTCCCCCTCACCTTTTATCAACCCCATCCAGATAGGTTGAAAACAATTCAGTGGAGATTCTACCTTTCCCTGTATCCTGTGAAGCTAGGTTCCCTACTGAAAGCTTGTAAGCCAGTCACTTCTTTCCTTTGTAGTCCCCCATTTTGGGTAGCCAGTGTCTAAGTTCCCCATCCCTGTCGATCCTGTGTACCAAGGGAATGGGAATGATGCTCAGTGTAGAGATTTGTCCGCTCCTTTGTGATACTGCATCCACAAGCATAGGTCAAGTTCATCTACTTGTAGTGGGTTACTCTTTGTTTGTTTGTTGTTGTTCCTCTTTTCTCCTCTAGTCATGCTCTGATCATCCAGCCGTTGATGCCAGGTCAAATGGGTACTGTCTGCAAGTGTGGGTGTTCTTGTGCATCTCCCCTCACATCATATCAGCATGCTTCACACTCCTTTTTAGTCCTCTGGGGCTATGTCCCTGCCTCTGGGCCCAGGAGTCCCAAGGTCTCGTAATACTGCTGGTTAACCAGGTCTCACTCCAGGTTAACAGGAGTCTATTGAATGTGGTCGGACTTAGTTCACAACTTAATTGCTGTTTTGCCCCCACTTTCCCTTATTGGTGACCAACATCTTCAGCAGTAAGGAAGACCACATCACATGCCTGCTGGTATATTCCAACTGAGTTTCAGTTTTGGAAGGAGGTTTGCCTTGAGGGACCTGACCACTTACCTTGATGGCTCCCTGGGGAACAACTTGATTGTTCTTATATTTATTGTTTAAATACAGAAGTTTACCAGCAAGTATTAATGTATTGTTGTTAATTGCCATTGAGTGATTCCAACTCACAGTGTTAGTGACTCTCACATCATGTGCATCTAAATAAAAATGTTTTCATTTTGTTTCTAGGGTGTTTGCTTTGATGTTTCAACAACTGAATCAGAAAGAGTACAGGTATTTAAAAAAATTTTTCACCTGTAAATATTTCAATATGCTTTTCTAAAAAAAGGTTCTTTCTTAAAATATAATCACAATACCTTTATCATACTTAAATCAGTTAATAATATCAAATATGCAGTCAGAATTATAAACAGTTTACAAACATAAGGGTGAGTCAAAAGCATTGCTACAAAATCATAGATAAAGACTTTATTAAATGAAAATATGGAGCTGTTGTTTCTCAACATATCTTCTATCTAGGTCTGTACACTTCTGAAGTGTACAGACTTTCTCTAACCCTTCCCCGAAGAATTCTATTCTCTTCAGTTTATGTGAGGTCAAAATAGCAGATTTTGCATCCTTAAGGGACTCATTGTAGTCCTTATCATAAAGAAGTCTGAAGGGGTAAGATCAGGGCTGTAAGGCAGATGGGTTAAGGTTTCTAAATGAAATTCTCATAGGAGAGTGCTTGCTAAGGAATTCCTTGGTACAACTTTCCTGACCTTTTTCTCACCTGTGCAATTTTCCATTTTCTGAAAACTTCTATTAAGCCCCCATGATCCGTCCTCCTAACTGATCGCTTTGCCCTGAATTTTACTGGCCAAGTGATCCCCTTAGAACCACTGTTTTGAATAGACTTTTTTTTTTTTTTTTTGTAGGCACCCTAAGGAGACAAAGACAAACGTATTACTGAGATAGATTGTCTGTAACTATCTACTGATTGCATAGACATATTTAAACCCATGCATGTATGAACTGGAACCCTGATAGCAGTACTTTTTGACTTTCCCTTATACATGTTGTTGCTAAGTGCCGTCAAGTTGGTTCAGACTCATAGTGACCCTGTATAGGGTTTCTGAGTTGCGGCTGTTGAGCTTGAATCACCAGCCTTGCAGTTGAAACTGACTTTGCAGTCCAGCGCATTATCCTGCAGGTGCCTATCAGGAAGTCCTCCCCTTATCTTTGTTGTTATTAAGTGCTGTCGAGTCATTTCCGACCCATAACAGCCCTGTGTAGATAGGGTTTCCCAGGGGAGCAGCTGGTGAGTTTAAACCACCGACCTTGTAGTTCAAACCAACTTTGCAGTTCAGTGCATTAACACATAGTGTCACACTGAAATCCATAATCAGTTCCCCATATTCCTATCACCATGCTCCAACAATTATCAACTCAAGACCAGTGTTTGTTTCATCTGTATTTCTATCCAGTTCTCCACTCCCTTGTATTCTTTTGAAACAAGTTAATTATATCATTTAAACCATAAATATTTCTATGTATCTCTAAATGGTAAGGACCGCAAAGTCGGTTTGAACTATTAGGTCAGGCAGTTTAAATTCAACAGCTGCTCCTTGGAAACCCTGTCTAGGGTCCCTGTGAGTTGGAACTGATTTGACGGCACTTAACAAGTGCTTATGAATTGGGCTACTAATCTCAAGGTCAGCAGTTTGAAACTACCAGCTGTTCCTCAGGAGAAAGATGAGGCTTTCTGCTCCCTTAAACATTTACAGCCTCAGAAATCCTGTGCAGGGTCGCTATGAGTCGGAATCGACTCCACAGCACATAACCACCACCAATAACAGAATGTTACAGAAGAAGTTCTGGTGCTGTGGGTTAGGCACTGGGTTGCTAACAACACAGTTGGCAGTTCAAACCCACCAATTATTCATAGAAAGATGAGGCTGTCTACGCCTATAAAAATGTACAGTCTCAGAAACCCTAAGGAATAATTCTGCTCTGTCATATAGTATTGCTCTAAGTTGGAACCCAATCTGTTACAGTGGGTTTTTGGATAAATGCTAAGAACTCTTTTAAAAATCTTAGTGCCATAAATTTGCCTTATTGTTTCAGTTATTTTTTACAGTTAGCTAAATAAGGTTTATCCATGTAATTATAATTTTTTTTCTGGTAAATCTTTTTCAAACTCTATGTTCTATGTCCTTTCTCTTTTTAAAAAAATTTTCTTGCATTTTACTTGTTGAAAAAGAGGTTGTCAGAAAACAAAAGAAAAAGAGGTTGTCTGGTAGAGATTCTTACAATGTAGAATTTGCCAATTGCATCCTTGTGGTGTCTTAACATGTTCCTTTGACTTTATTTTCTGAAATTAGTTTGATAACAACTAATGTACTTGCATTCAGGAGACTTGTAATGTATGACTGTCTGTTGTCTTTTGTCATATTAGCAGTGGCGTGGCACTGTGAGTTAATGTGCTGGACTGCAAAGTGGTTTGAATTGCAAGATCAGCAGTTCAAACTCACCAGCCACTCCTCAGAAACCCTATACAGGGTCACTATGAGTTGGAATTCATTCAGTAATACTTTAACTGCAGCAATAGCATTGCCAGAGTCTTGGTGTGGCGCATAGGATAAGAAGCTTGGCAGTTCAAATCTACCAGCCACTCCTTGGAATCTGTATACAGGGTTGCTATGAGTTGGAACTGACTTAGTGGCACTTAAAAACAACAATAATACCATTACCTAGATTTATTAATTTGTTAAGATTTCAAAATGGTAATATTCTAATTCTAGTCATTCTTGCTTGACGTATTAGGTGGAATACTTACATGAAGGGGGAGTCCTGGTGTGGCGCTGTGAGCTAATGCGCTAGACTGCAAAGTCAGTTGGAACCACAAGGTTGGTGGTTCAAGCTCACCAGCTGCTCCTTGCAAAACCTATACATGGTCACTATGAGTCGGCACTGACTTGACTTAGCAACAACAACGACATGTGTAAAATGAGTGAGTTAAATAATACTCTGTTATCATCCTGAAGGTTTTAATTGGCTAAGTTTTGGAAGTAGATCATCAGGCCTTTATTCGTAGTCTATTTTAGTCAGAAGCTCTGCTGCAAGCTGTCCACCTCCGGTGATCCTGCTGATATTGGAAACATTGATGTCATAGCATCATGTAAGCAAGCCACTACAGTATGACAAACAGACCCCACTGGAACAACTCATAGGTCAATTTAGATTAGATGGTGAACAACGCATGGCTTCTTTTCTTTTTTCACCCAAGTGTTCACACTACTGAGAACCATCCTTTGCAGCCGTATATATTTTTAAGAATCATTTTGTTGGGAAAAATCCTCACACATATTTATTAAAATGTCTTTTTAAAGTATTTGTTTATGTTTTTAAATGGTTTAATCATTGAATTATAAAAGTTGTTAAGATAGAAAAATAATTTATCAGCCATAGGTGTAGCTAATCTGCCTTTTTAAATTGGGTATTATAAATACAATTGCTTATCATATTCACAAATAATTCATGTTAATTGTAGAAATTTCAGAACATACAGAGAAATTAAAAAATTAAAAGTCACCCTTAAACTGACCTCAGAGACAATCACAGTATTGTATCTTCTAGATTTTTGCTGCATATTTGTATGCATGTTTTGGAAAAAAAAAAAAATGAGATTGCTGCATTTTTTAAGCCTTTAAACATTTTAAAAATATAATTTGAACACATTTTGGTTCGATCCAGAAAACACACTCATGTCTAGCTAATCTTGACTCATAGCAATCCTATAGGACAGTAGGACTGCTCCACAAGGCTATACATCTTTAAGGGAGCAGATGCTTTCATGTTCTTCCTTGGAGCAGCTAGTGGGTTTGTAATGCTGACCTTGAGGTTAGCAGCTCAACATTTAACTCACTGCATCACTAGGGCTCTGGCATTTGGCCATAATGGATGGCCACTGTTCTCAACCAATGCCCTATTTTTAAAGAGGTTTGAGCATTTTAAGGCTTCAGTCATATATTGCCAAATCCACCAATGTTTTTTGTGGTTGTCTGTTTCTTCCTACTTTCAACAAGAAGATATCTTAAATATGAACTTTCCTTGAAGATTCCTGTCAAAATGAGCATATTATTGTGGCAGGATGTAACATGGTGTTCTTGTGAGTTGTTGATTCGTGTATCTTGAGTTGATTAATCTCTAGACTGAATTGTCTCCAGTGGCTATATATATTAGTCCCTGGCTAATGTTAACAGGTTTTTAATCTCTATCAGTCACCTCTTATTGCCATCAATATACATTTTTAAAGCAATGTACTACATACTAATGGCATTTCTGCTTTGAAACTAAATGGTGCTCTTTTAGAATTTATAAACTAAATATACATTTTGATTCTCAAAATGGGACTGAGCATTTTTTTGAGACTAAAACTCTGGGACTTTGACCACATTTTTGTTTTTGCTTAATTTTTGGTTTTCATTTTTGTTTCTGACACTTCAGATTTAATGGATGATGGCCTTTAAGTGCAGTGATGATGAATATGAAATGGATATGCTCTTGTGCTTATTTATGGCTTCTATTTTGCATCCTACTAATCCTGTGAATTCCCCTAACAGGCAGAGTGGCATGATTCAGACTGGATACTCTCAGTGCCAGCCAAATTACCTGAAATTGAAGAATACTATGATGGAAACACATCTTCTAATTCCAGACAGAGGAGTGGCTGGTCAGGTGGCCGGTCAGGCCGGTCAGGTGGTCGATCTGGTGGCCGGTCAGGTAGACAGAGTCGACAAGGAAGTCGGTCAGGAAGTCGTCAAGACAATAGAAGACGAAGTGGAAATAGAAATCGATCAAGAAGTGGGGGCCACAAACGGAATTTTGACTGAATATTTGATAGTTAGTCTACCAGTGTGAGCTTGCCTATTTCTGCCTAATCATGTATATTACCCACCAAAAATTAGGTCATCATAGTTGAGGTATGTGTCTGCTATTTGCAAAGAAGTTGGTCGTATTTTTTTAAAAAGTATTTCACAAGAATGGTTGTAAACAAATCTACTTATCCAGTTATACCTTTGAATAAAAAAGCTCCTTTTATTGTCTCTTTTCACTCTGAGTTAAGAATTTCCTCAATGTAATCTTTTCTATTTCTTCTGAAATTTGATCAAAATCTTACTTAAGGTTAGGTGCATTTTGCAAAATGTGGTGTATTTGCATTCCAATCATTCCTTTGCTAGGTTATATGGTAGGAAGTATAAATTCCCTTTTTCATTAAAGGGCTGTGTAAATTGATGGCATATGGTTGGTTAAATACAGCGTGTTAAGTTCTAGATATGTTTAACTAAAAGGAACTAAAAAGTTTATTTATTCAACACGTATTTATTGAATGCCAACTATGTGTCAGTAGCTATGCTTATCATTCTTGAGTATAGTGAACAAGGGATAATAATTATTCTCGAGGATTTTAACAGTCTAACAGTTACAATAGAGATTAACAAGTAAAGGCTAAGATACAGGTAGGTATGGTTTGGTAGAGCTCTAGGTATTATGTGCCTAACTAATCTTAAGGATTAGGAAGATTTAGAAGAAGTTATAATGAACAGAGAAGTATGAGTTATCTATCCAAGTGTAGAATGGTGGGGAGAGGAATTCATAAGGGAGAGACTTCACAGGCAGGACAGTTTATGTAGAAACTGCAAAGAATAGTCTGACAATTCAGTATGGTTTGTATGGGATACACGGGATGGGAATAGAAGAGCATAGAATGGGCCAGATTTTAAATGCCTTGTGTGTCATGTTAATGAGTTTAAACACTTCCTGAGGACAATAAAACATTAAAGGATTTCCAATGAGTTCCATTAGATTTGTATTTTAGAAAGATTATTGCTTACACCGAGGAGACTGGATTGGAGAAGGGTCAGACAGGAAGCCAGGAGACTTCGTCAAAGGCTGTCAGAGTAATTCAAGGTACAGTTGATGGTGGTCTGAGCTGATAGTTGTATTCTGTGCAATGAGAACTCAGGTACTTTAGATGTGGTTTGCTTGTCCAAAATCACACAGATAATTAATGTTTAGTAGACTGAGGATTTGAACCTAAATAATAAGTCTAGCTTCTGACCTGGCACTCTTAACTACTATGCTAACATGGACAGATACCAAAGATTTTTAGGTGATAGAATCACCAGGCCTTGGTGATTCTCTCCTGTTGTTTTCTTGCAAGGTCATCTCTTGAGGGTGAAGAAGGAGGTATTAGGCTAAGATATTTGAGCAGAACAACTGTAGAACAAGACGACGATTGGATCAATAGATGAGAGAGAAGTAGAAGAATGAAACTTAGATTTCTGCATTGAGATAGGTATGGTGGTGCAAGGAGGAGAAAGAACAAGGTAAGTTATGTGGATAAGGGGTACCAACTCATAGCGACTTTATGCACAACAGAACGAAACACTGTCTGATCCTGGGCCAGCCTCACGATTGCTGCCATGCTTGAGCCCATTGATGCTGCCACTTTGCCAGTTCATCTCCCCAGGATCTTCCTCTTTTTCTCTGACCCTCCACCCTACCAAACATGATATCCTTCAGCGACTGGGCCCAAGCTTGAGAGATGAAGTTTGACCATCTTTGTCTCCAAGGAGCACTCTGGCTGCACTTCTTCCAATACAGGTCTGTTGGTTCTTTTGGCAGAACATGACACTTTCAATATTCTCCTCCAATATGATTAGTTCAGGACTGCTGTTGTTACTGTTAAGTGCTGTAGAGTCAGTTCAACTCTCAGTTCTCCTTTCCAAGGATTGGCTAGTGGGTTTGAACCCCAACTTTGTGGTTAGCAGTCCAGTGCTTATCCTACAGTACCATATCAGGACTCTAGTTAAGGGTTAAACATGTTAATATTGAGCAGAACTTGGCATATATAAGAGGATATAAAAAGTACTTTTACATTGAGGGTTTTGGGGTCTGAATTGCAGGAGAGAGGTTCTAGAATTGTAGATTTGGCAATAAGCAAAAAAAAACAAAAAAAACCTGAGGTAGTAGACATTATCCAGGGAAAATGAAGGATCCAAGCAGCATACCCATTTATTACTGGGTAACATAGGAAAGGGAATTACAACATCTCACTGCTGACAAAGGCAAAACACCCAGTATGAGATTTGTAAAGGATCAGAAAATGAGCTTGAAATGACTGCCAGGTTTGGTAAGGGAAATAACAAAACAAAATGCCCAACTTTTTTTTTTTTGTGGATGAATTTATATGTTGTTGTTGTTTTTTAATTAAATGTTTTTATTTTGGATTGAGTGAAAGTTTACAGGGCACATCATCAGCTTCACATTCAACCATTCATATAGCTTGTTTCATTACAT